ATAGAGAAAAATATGTATAGCAGACAAAAAAAAATGCAACGTTAGATTTTGGGTCCAAATGTAGAAATGAACAATTTTCCTAGAAAGTTATTTCCTTGTAAACTTTTTCCAGAAATGCAAACAGTCCCACTAAGGAGTCAGCATTAACATAAGTGCTGGAAAATTGTAATGCTACGGTTCAAAAAGTCGATACCGCTCGTCACTTTGTTACATAATAATTTATAAGCAACATGTTGACGTTTTTAAGTGTACACAGCATAATTTCCTTTTCTATGCTTCGGCAATGGTAGCATAGGACAATTGGCAAAAATGGTTGGAACCCCATACTACTATTATTATTATTATTATTTTACTATTTTTGTTTTGCCAAAGGATCACTTATAAATGGTTTTATTACAATAACATATACTTCAAAATAAATTCAACAAAACAATAAAACCAAAATATTGAAACTTGCTATTGAAATAACTATTTTTTATGCTTGAGAATATAAATATGAAATTGCAAAAAAAATTAGAGAGTGCTGGATATTACCTCAATCGGGTTTATTACACCCCACATCGAGTCACCACCATCCGATGGCTCGGGATCGACGATCTAGCTTCAATCTCAACTGGAAAAACAATTTTAGGCCAAACATATCCTATGGAACCTTTTAGAACTCCTTTTTAATCCCCAAGCTTTGAACCTAGGTCTTAACCCTCAAGACCTAATCTAGTATATCCTCTACTACCTAACCCTTAGGTTTAATGAAGATGAGAGAGGGTGGGAGATATTCTAAGATTAGGGCGTGCCCCTTTTATGGGTTAGGAGAGAGAAGATGCTAAAGAGATAAAACTTAAGAGAGAAGAGAGACGTTGAACGTACCCCTTAGAGAGGGAAGAGGGAGGAGAGTTAAGAGAGAGAAGGGAGAGATGTGTAGAGAATAGAGGTTGGGAGGTCTCTATTTATAGAACAAGTTTGAGGTTTTTTATAGTTTGCCTCTTAAGTGAGATTAAACATGGACCGTTGATCAAGGGTGACTTGTGGGGTGAGAGATCTGAGTCATATGTTTTATAGATGGGTCATCAATATTATGGAACGTATATAAACTCTTATCCCCATTTCTTAAATAATTTTCCCATAAATAGAAATTAAGTCAAATTAATTTCAATCAAAATACTGTGCATTATATAAAATAACACAAGTCTACTCATATTTTTCAAAAAAACTTTCAAAGCTTCCTCAAGTCAAAATTTCAACTCAAATCTTTCCAAGTCATATGGTTCCATTTAACCATATGACATAACTTACAAATAGAAGGAAATCGAAGGGTGTGGCGTGCCACCCCATTGGGGTTTTCATGGGCCCCACCTTCTAGAACATAGTAGGCCCATATGCATAATGGGCCCTTATGAAATTTTATTTTACATACAAAATTTTAAAATAACTTTAAATATATTTGAATATTTAAATCATTATAAAATCAATATCTTTAATTTTATAAATCCAAATATTATAATAAAATATTCAGAGATTTATAAAAATTCTAAAATAATACGTATCATAAAAACATAATTAAACTAATATGATGGGAAAATGATACATATGGCTTAGGAATTAAATCAATAATCATGGGGCACTCCACCTTCAATTGTAGACTACAGACCACACTTGTTTTATCGAACCAATCCAATGTTTCTCATGACTCGCAGTCCAAGCAGAGGCTCATTAACGTGTCACTAAAGTTTGGGTCGCAATCCTAGTTTGCAGATTTTAGATTCTCCCCTAGAGATGGATCAATATTACCTAAACTTGATGCGACCACAGCTCCTATGACGCATAGGGGGTATCTCTCGTACATGCATACGTTTCACCTTGAAAGGTGGATTGCTTTCCTAAACGGTCTATCAATATGCATGCCGTGTAATGGTACATGGATGAGGCTTTGGCCTCAGTTTCTGTAGACCACCATCACACACAAGGGTCACACAGTTACTTGGCTCACTTATCCGTGCTTACTTCGACCTCATCAAGGGATGACCCATTAGAACCCTTATCGGTTTATACACTATGCCTAGGTAACATGGGTTTTTTCCAACTGACTGGCCTAGACTGTTAAGCACAGTCCGGTATCTGTAAATATTGTTTGTATAGTATTGTCCACGAGGACCACACTCCCACTGAATTCGCACTCCACTATATCAAATGTTTTATTACAATAACTCATAAGGCCTGTAATGGCCACACAAACCCAACAATTAAATGGTTTGGTGTGAGACACGAAGTCCGAAAATTATCTTTTTGAACTTTTGGCTATTCAATAACACTCTTACAATATTCCATTTTAAAATTCAAGAATGAGTATAACCTTTATGTACAAAAGATAATTGGTCTTAATAAAAAAAATCTCAAGTTATCAACACATACCCTAATGTCAATATGCAACACCAGCGAATCGGGTGATGTATTAGGGTTGGGTAAGATTGTTATGAGGTCGACGTTTAGATATAGCAAAATGCTTCATGCGCGTGGGAGAGCATACTATCAATTTACTCTCTTAGACAAAATCGAATTTAGGAGTGCTTTTAAGACCCCAAAGTTTGGCAATATAACCTATTCTATAATATTCTATGCTCATTAAGAAAAAATTTCATTCTCTTTAGACATAAAAGAATAATGTCTCAAGATTAAATGGAAGGTATCCATTTTTGACAAGTGAGATTAAAGTGTTAAAATATTCAAAATTCACATTTTTTCTTTTGAAAATAATCATTTAATGATTTTTACGTGGTTCGAATATATTCAGTTAATGAATTTTAGATGGTTCCTAAAATTTCAAATTAAAGAGATCCTCCAATTCAGGTTTCTACCTAAGAGAGTATCGCTCTAGTGGAAGCATAGTTTACAATAGTATATATATCTCTCTCTCTACCATCCCCGGCACCCATTGTGCTTGTGTATATATACAGAAATGCAATCCAAAATCCTATTTTAACATAGTTTTAAGTTAGTTGGATCTTTGTAGGGCCTTGAGCAATAGGTTTGGCATCACATTGCACGTTTTCCCTCACTTGGTAGCAATGCTAGACGTCAATAAGAGAGCATAGAAGCATTACAGAAGTTAGAGTCAAAGGAAAATATCTCCATAAATTTTATTTTTAAGTTTCATTTTTTCATAAACACAAGGTCTTAAAATCTATCTAGCTGCATAAATATTATATTTATTGTATCTTTCAACCCCTAAACTAACTTTATTCTATTTTTTAACCCAAACAAATTTTATAAAGATATCTTTTTTAAACCTCTATCTCCACATTATTCTCTTTCTCTCTCCAATCTCGCAAACCCCTCTCTCTCTCCCTCCCCTATATCTCTCTCACTGTTCCCCCAACTCTCTCTCTCTCTCTCTCTCCCCGTGAGAGAAGCGCATGAAGATAGAAAAAGAAGAGAGAAAGCTAGGTTTTTTCTAAAAAGGTTTTTTTCAAATTTGCTTGGGCTAAAAAGTTAGGATAAAAATAGGTAAACAT